CCCCCCCCCCCCCCCCCCAATAAATGACATGCTTCTTCTAGCATTTTTTTACTGTTGTGCATAGATTTCTGTTGTAGCAAAACTCTGGAATCAACTTCATATAACAACGATTTTCCTAGCACACAAACTAACATTCAGGTGATGGTTTCTTTTGAATTAAGAACTACGATTCCATAGCACTGAAAAGTAGAGGCTATATTGGCTGCTTAGCATTCCTGCTCTTTATATTCCTCTTGGATTTAGGTATGCACAGAGGTAGAAGTAAGCTTTAGCAATTCCATTGCAGTGCAAAAAGTGTTTGATAATACTAAAGCACTGATCTGCTGTGATAGAAGTTAAGACAATTTGCAGAAAATAGAATTGATTTCTTATAAGCTGTAAATTGTATCTCCCTGTAAAATACATGCTTTATCAGAATTGATGTATAAAAGTAGCATTCACCTATTAAAATGTGCTTTGTTTTTCTTCTCTTTATTTATGTAGGCATGGAAAAAAAGTATTATTTGTGTAGTACATATATATATATATATTTTTTTTTAAGATTCTGCTCTTCACATTTAGAAAAACTATTCTCGGTTGAATCTTAAGTGGAAGAAAATTCAAGATGCAGTTGCTAGGCTATTAGTCTTAACTAAAGATACATTGTTAGAAGTGATTGACGTTTTTAATTTTATTAAATTTTAGCTCAGAAATTAGCTTTGCTGATTAATAGACAATGGATAAAAAAGGAATTTACTTTTAATTATTACCTTTATGCTGAAACATGGAAATGTGAATACTGATTTTCTTTTGTAGAGATGGCTTAAATTCACATTCAGAATTTCTTAAACAGGGTATTTTTAACAGTGGTGGTGTAAATCACTAGAACAAGATCAGTAATAAACTTCTGCAAGAGGCAATTATTAAGGGAAATATTTTACTATTTAAAACTGATTATGATGATATATACATAACATAAAGATCGATCAGTTGATGAGTTAACATAGTGAGTGTTTGCTTTTATTCAAAACAAAGTCTCTCTCTGAAGTCGAAAATGTGTGGGACAGAGTGCAAAAATGCACGGGGGAAATATTTAACAAAAATACATATGAAGCTTTAAAAGATTTTATAAATATAACTATCTTCTCTAGATGTTTGGTCTGTTGATCTTAACAATTTATTTGAAAAGCAAAGCAGCCAGAGAGTAGTTCTAATGCTAGAGTTTGGTACATCAAGGCAGAAAGTTATGTTTGGTGGCAGCTTTGTAACAAGCAGTATTTATTGTCAGCATTTCTAATAACAAATTAGTAATTTCTAACAGTATTACACATCATTCTGCATTGACTGTCAAAAATCTTCAAGTGGTGCTTTGTATTTTTGTAAGTGAAAATGCTTCTTTGCACTGTGACCTTGTTTTATAAAGAAGTGGACTGAACTAGAACAGTTACTGATTAATGTTCCTGGTTGGTAAGAAATTTTGTATAGGAAGTTTTACCTCAAATACTGATTTAAAGCAGAATATGTTATTTTACTCATTTTGTTTTATCTAAACATACCTGATGCCATTGAGCAACCTATAGATACAATAGTTAATATGATCCTTTCCTTACCAGTGTAGCGATTAAATGAATGCCTGTTGTATGAGATGGGAGTACTTTTTAGGTTTGATAAGACTTCAGAAGACATATTCAGAGAGAATATCTCAGGTCTTTTGGGATTTGTTTTGGGTTTTTTGTGTTTTGTTTGTTTGGGGGTTTGGTTTTTCTTTTTTTTTTTTTTTTTTCTTTGCCAATTAATCAAGCAAATCATAATATAGCTTTCTTCATTTTTTTTGTTTTGTTTGTTTGCTTGGATTTGGTTTTGGGTTTTTTTTGTACAATAGCTCAACAGAACCCAACAACCCAGCTACCAGCCAGACAAAAAGAGATTGAAATAAACAGACAACAGCGTTACTTCCGCATTCCCTTCATCCGTCCTGCTGACCAGTACAAAGATCCCCAGAACAAGAAGAAGGGTTGGTGGTATGCGCATTTTGATGGGCCATGGATTGCTCGACAAATGGAACTTCACCCTGACAAGGCACCCATTCTCCTTGTAGCAGGTTGGTATTGAAAGCAAAATTCAAATATTGAAAAGATTCAGAGCCAATAACATCAGAAAAAGAGGCTGATGATGCAGGTTTGCCAAGTGGTATCCTCTTCTTTTTTTCATCAGCAGTTCTTGTCTGGGCAGAATTTGAGGATTTGGGACTGCTCTGGTGGTGGCCAAATGTTATGGAATATCACTTGGAGATGTAACTGGTCACATGTTTTATTTATACGTGTACTTTAATCTGGAAAATCATAGAGTGGAAATCCAAATGTAAATGGTTTTATTATTAAGTACCCTCAGATCATTTACTGAACTGGAGACAGTGTGAAGATAAAACATCACAATTTATCTGGGAAAGTTGTACTTATAATTTTATTGGTTTTTAGTTAACTTTGAAAAATAACATCAGTTTGTATCAAAACAATGTGTGCATATGATATATTGTCTTTCCATAGTATGGTGCTAATAGCAAACTGAAACTTTTACCATATGTATGCTGTGTAGTATGGGAGAATAACTTTTAAAAACTGTGGTTTTACATATTTAGTAATAGATACATAGAGATTTATCTGTCAGTGAAATGTATACTTGTTTTCTGGCAGATAATCGAAGGGAGAGAAAACACTGGAGAAATTTTTTTTACAGTTCTGTGGTTTGAATTTTTGTATGTAACTTGGGGACTGAGGGAAAGGCCATAACCAGTTTATTTAACTTCAGAATTGTAGTTTACTAACTAATTTTTCTGCTAATTATTTTGAATAGAATTCCTTATACCAACTGTTGCCCTTAGCATGAGTGTCAAAGCCCATAGGTAAAAACAGCATTGCTGTCATGAATACCACATTCAGTGGATCACCTATGAAAAATAAGATTAAAATATAGTGAGTAAGCTATACTTACTGTTCACTGGATTCCCTGTGTCGGTCCCATCTAGTAAACACTGTTTAGCATGGGAGGCTGACAGATTAAGAATACTAGTTACTTGATCAAAAGTCTCAGCTTCTTAGTTGCTTTGCTATCTTTAAACAAATGAAATAATAACAGAAATTCACTGTAAAACTGAAAGTATTTGTAAAACAGGTGCGACTGTGATCCTGTAATGGATTTCAGGAGATATATCAAGATGGTGATCCTTTGAGCTTCTTTCTTGTGTTCCTTTTTGCTCACTTTTTAAGCACAATATTGTCAGTTGTAGCATCTGATATGAGTTTCAACTGATTCAACTGATATGATATTCTGATATGGCTTTTTGTTCTGTGTGTAAGAAAATAAATAAATAAATACCTGTGCCTGAGGACTGATATCCCCATAAGCTCTGAAGTCTATTAACAAACTAGAGCTTGAGAGAGGAAATCCAGTTAACAAAAGGCCTAATCTTTGTTGATGGGACCTTTGAATGATGTAAAAGCTTTATAAAGATTTTCTTTTTTCCTTTACCACTTCAGGTAAGGATGATATGGATATGTGTGAGCTTAATCTTGAAGAGACTGGCTTAACTCGAAAGCGAGGTGCTGAAATTTTGCCGAGACAGTTTGAAGAAATTTGGGAGCGCTGTGGAGGTATCCAGTATCTTCAAAATGCAATTGAAAGCAGACAAGCTCGTCCTACATATGCTACAGCGATGCTGCAGAACCTATTGAAATAAATGGTCATTTTGCACAGTAGTATTTGAGATGAGAACCCTTGCCCATGATACAAAGGGAAGAGTTCCTCTGTGCAACAGAGGATGTAAACATTCTATGATCATATTAGAGATGTTTAATATAAAGTGAACAGATTTTATTAATCATGTGGCTTGTTAATTTGTACTTTATGATGTTTAATTTGTGTAGTGAACTTTACTAGGTATGAGGTCCTTGAAGAAACTCCAGTCAGTGTAGCTTGTTGCATTTTGTTTATATGTTGCATTTTCTTTAACAGTTTCTGTTGTAACTCTTAAGACTTTTAAGCAATCTGTACTTGGGTACATATTACAAAGAACTACACTGAAACTAACTTGTTATAAAATCCCCTCTTTAAGACACTGAATAGTTGTCTTCAACTTGTGGCCTAGTAAAGAGGATATGCTGTTTCTAATAACTGGAATTGTGAGGCCTTAGCTTTGACTTCTGTTCCAGAGAAGTTGGAGTATAATTTTATATAATCTGAGATATTTTATGTCCTGATTTGAAAACTGGTTAGTGTCTGTATGTACTTTTTCAGAGACTGATGGGAAATCCTCCTAAACATGGGACCCATAAATTCCTATTTAATGCATTCTCTGTCATGTTTTAAGAGGAATGGCTTTCTGTACATTCTGAGAAGAGCATTCATATATGTCAATATTGTGTAATATTGGAGGTACTCAAAGAATGTACCCCTCATTAAGTCTCATACCACTTCTCTCTTAGCTTCTTTTTCTGTTTTCTCTTTAAGTACAAATTTCCTTTAGACTTTTATTTTTCTGACCAAATTTTCAGTAGGAATTCTTGGAGAGTTTGTTTGTCCAGGTGGTGTAACTTCAGTATATTCAAAATTGTCCAAGACTTGTATTGGGAGGCATATAAGAGTATGGATAGCATAAGGGAACTATGTTCAGCTTTTTGGTGGCAGTATAGCGTAACGGTATAGGGAGGCCTGAGTCTCAGACATTCTGTTTATTTTAATTATAATGAGATGCACAAGGTCTGTACCTTTTGCTAGATGTTTAAAAATTTGGTCCAATAACATAATGCATCGTTTAAATACTATGTGCTGATGAAATAGCTACAATTTTTAGTATACTGGAACATCATAGTGATTTGGACACTGACCTTTATCTTCCTATCTTCTGTCAAATTTCATAGCTTGTAACAGTTCCCTTATTAAGCAGTTCATTTCAGAAGTTTCTGTGGGTGGGAGTTATTAATTTCATATGGTTTTAAAATTCATCTTGTTCACTTATGTAAACATTATTGTTTCACCATGCTGGCCATTATTTCAACAAGTTACACTTGATTATTTATTATCTCTCTGATAGAAATTTGAAATATAAGTAGCTTTATGTCCAATTACTTATTCAACCTGATTTAAAAATGAAGTTTTACTCTATTAATTAACAAAGTTTGCTTACACTATAAAATAATTCCCTCACTGTTTACCTCTTGGAAACTTTAGTTTTTAAATGCATAAATATAATTAATAACTTTCAAGATGTACAGTTCTGTAGCACAGAGAAAAAAGCTCCTGATGCATACATCCTTGCTGACCTTAGATTGTGCTTGCATGCTGCAGTCTGCCGCTTGTTATAAATGCCCTCCTCACTGTAATGCATGTGGAGATATTTGAGTAATACATTAACTCTGTCTGAATCTGCTGCACCAGGGAATCTCAGCTTCCACTGCATACACACTCTGCTTTTTGGTCATGTGATTGAAAACGAGAAAATATTTTCATTTTACCCAAATTCTTCACTAAGCAGTAATTTTTGTCTGGAAGATGAAAGGAAAAATGCATCAGGCTGCTGACTAGCAAGTTGTGTACAAACCTGTACAGTGTTGCATGTGTTTAGAGGTGCTGCTGATGAAATTTAGGTTACTGGTTTAATATGTTACTGATTTGGAACCAAAGTTTCAGAACTTCCAGTCTCCGGAAACAGCTCTGTAAGAAGCTGTGATTGTTCATGCGATACAAGGAGGAAAAGTCACTGAGCTGATAGGGCTGAGATGCCCTATCCTGTATTTATGACTATCTGGATTTAGCTTCTTGACTTAACACTTTCAGTCTCAGTATATATATAAAATATATATACACACAAAAATGGATCTTAAGAGGCTGAACATGGTAAGCAAAGAACTTCAGTACTTAAGTGTGTGTATATGTATATACACATATATATGCTTAAATATTTTAATATATATATGTGTAAACATACTTTGGGGAACTTAAATAAAATTAACTGAATTTTTCCATTCTGTTCCTTTGATTATGCCAGGATTTCCTTGACTGGCATAAGAAAGAAAATTTATTATTTGGAATGGACTGCATGGGAATTCTTAACTAAATGACTAAAAAATATGAGCTATCAGGAAAACAAAATTGACTTTGAAAAATATGAACCGGTGGCTGGATGTTCTCAACTAAGATGTTCCCTCCTCGTTGCATTGCCTCAGCAGTATGCCTGAGGCAGACAGAAAATGCATTCCAAAAATCACAGTAGAGGCTTTTTTTTTTTTTTTTTTTTTTTCTTTCCCCTGCACCAAAACCAGCACCTGCTTTTAGTTTTACTGATCTTTTTGTGCAACAAAGTTAATTTCATTAAATTCAGATTTATTTATTATTTTTGTTTTACATCAGGCAATATTCAGCTGCTTACCAATTGTTTCTGTAGTCCCATCTACTGTGTCAGATAATATACTGTTGGTTGATTTGGAGAGGAAATAAAAAAGCTTGGGAGGGGGTTGATCTGTAGGATTGTCGTATTACCTAATGCCCTTCTGATCTATGGTTATAGAGAAAAATTTAATTTGCTTTTTAAAGCAAAATGTTGGCTTGGTTCTGTGTGTTTGATTTAAAAAAAAAAAAAATTTATTCCTGCCTCTCAGTAAAGCTGTCCATTATAGTTGAGATCTTCTGCATGAAACACTCCACAAAACAAAGGAGAGGAAGAGAATTGCCATGCTAGGCTATATTCCTGAATAGGTGACCTAGGAATATGAATTTTCTAGAGAAAGCTACTTTGACGATCATAGGGTCATTAAATACTTGTCTGTCATCTGCTGACAAGATTGTTTTTCTTTACCTAGTTGAATCCTTTGTTTTTTTTTTCTCCAAAATCTTTAAATAAAGTATTTAAATGACCTAATACTGTACTGAAAATTAAAAAAAAATAAATACATTCCATGTTGAAATCTCAGTTGTATCTCTCTTACCATTTTGTCTTTAAAGTTTTAAAGCAGAATAAGTAAGGGTAAATTAAGTTATGAAAGGATAAAAAGATTTCTGTGCTGGGACTGCCTGCTGCTTTTCTTTCAGATGGTGCCTATGGTGCTTAAAGCTACTCTAGTAATGATTTTGTCTTTACTTTCTAAGTTAAGTGTTCCTCTAAAAGAACATTCTGCTATTAAAAATTTTTTATTTTTTTATGTCAAATACCTCATTTCTTAGTATTTGTTGAAATCAGTATATTTTTACTTTTACTATTTTTTTAACCTTTATTGCTATCACTTCAAACATATTTATCATTTGTTATGCTGTGTACTGTTTGCATTTTTTTCGTTTTAGATCATGACAATCAGTGATGAGTGAAACCACTTAAAAGGCTATCAGGTTTTTTTTTTTTACAGGAAAAGCTTTATGTTTGGGGTGGAGATGTGTTGCATTTGTTTGTTTGGGTTGTTTTGTTTTTTGTTTTTTGGGGGTTTTTTTATAAAGTGTTATCAAACTTTCCTGTCTTAAGGGCCAAATCAGAGTGGTATTTTTTAATTTAAGAAGATTGAAGTAATTCAGACTTTGATATCTAGGAAACATGATTTTGTTTCATTTTCCTTATGACTTTCATCTCCAGCCGTAGCCTTACATCGGTTTTAAGATAACATGATGTGTTTTAGTGTGAGATTAAGTACCAATTCTGTTCTCTGTGAAATTTTCAAGTAAATAGTTTTATTATATTTTATTGAAATACAAAAGGTTTACATCCAGCAAATATATTTGGTAATTAATAGTTGAGTGTTAAATACAATCATGAATAATCATTATTAAAATACACATTTTAAAATTACTTGATTTTTTAAAATCAGACTAGTGATAACTAGTATGAATTGAAATACACTAAACACATACAAAAATACATCTGTAATGGAAAAAAAGGAATGCTTTCAGCATTCTTAGCTTACATGAGCAATAGTGAAAAGCTAACATTTGTTGGCAGGGATGACTTCCAGTGCCCTGCGAGAAGTATTTTAAAAGTACAGTTTTATTCTGAAGTGTTACTGTGTAAAACCACATCTTAGGTTTCTTTTTTTTTTTTTTTTTTTTCCTCCTAGTTAAATAAGTAAAAATACTCTTTCAGCTGTAGAAACTCAACTTTGTATTCTTGGTGCATTGCCTTCATTTGTACACAATCACCAGCTTTGGTGGTTTTGCCAGCAAATCTGTGCAGTTAAGTGTTTGGAATTCGTAAACAGTTCTTTTGAGCATACCTAATAAGGTAAACTAAAGTTCGTTCTTTGCTATGGTAACTGTGTGGTACGAAGTAAAAAGAATTGTCACTAAAATCAGCTGCTATCCCAAATCCATGAAAGTTCCACATCTGAATGAGGAGCTGTCATCCAGTATAGTCACGAACTTTGTAGAAGCTCAGTTTGAGCTGTAAGTACGACTTCTGATACGCACCAAGCAGCAAATAGCGCCTGGATATTATACAACACTGGTGCGGCATATAAATACAGATCTACTCAAGAAAAAGATATTGAAGGTAAGGTAATGCTCATACTTGAATCAGGACTGTGGATCCATAGAGCATAGATTACTACGCCTATAAAATACTTAATGGCCACCCATTATCTGCTTAGATTTCTTCTGCAAAAACTAATAGTAACTTGTAAAAATTATTTATGTGTATACTGAGTTTAAAGTGCATACACTTATGTGCAACTCTGTAATCTACTTGCTACAGTGAGGATGCTTGTGAATATAAACTTAATGTTCTGAAAAGATAAAACTGCAGGTATTGCACCTCAGTGAAAAGATGGAAGTCTTAGGATAACCCGACAGTTTGTAACTGCCACCAGAAATTAAGCAATGAAGTGTATATGTACATAGAGATACACAATGTGTTTATTAGCAGAAAATAGGAATCTGATGTTCATAGAAACCATTAAAAAAATCCCAACTTCTGTGTGATTTGCAATGTAAGCGTTGCAGGGAGAGAATGACAAAGTTCCTAAATGCTTTTAATGTGGCCTTTGGTCAATGACAGCTCTTATTTCTGTGTTTGCCACTTACATAGGGTAGGTAAGAAAGGTCAATAAAATGTATAGAAATGTGGTAAAGTTTTATCGACATTTTTACCAGAATATTTGTGATCTACACTATTGAAAAAAGTCACTTCTCAGCAAAATCTTTCTAGTACTCGGCTCTTAAAATATAGTTAAGATGTGTAAGTACTGGAAGCTTAATGCATGCATCTTAACACTGGCGACTTTTTCCTAGTCAAATTTTAGACATGGTCAAATAGTTGGTCAACTCGGTCATGTTGTTTTTCTTTAATAAAACATGTTTTAAGTGTGTGCTGATTTTAGAGCCAAAATGTTATATCTTTAGGAATCCTTGAATTTTTTTCATATGCTTAATCAACCTGAAGTCCATTCTTGAATAATGCAGACCACCTTTTTTGAATACCTGAAAGAGAAACTCTCATAAGACACTTGAAAAACACTTTAAAATTTGAAAATATACTATTTATTTATTGTTAATAGGCAAGGTCTCACTAAAATCTGTTTAAGATAATCTCCAGTTCATTGTAAGGAGAAGTGAGTTAACCCTGAAGTTATTTTTTACATACTAAGTCATTTAACTCAGAGTAAAATTATTTTTCCTCCCTGATATAACAACGGTGCCCTTCTATATGAAATAACAAACAAATACCACCTATTTCATTGTAATCTAAAGAACATATTTTTGACTGTAAAACAATTAGAATGCAACATGCTACAAAAGAAGCTCTATCTGAAGTATCTACAAGATTCAGTTACAGCAGATCTGGGATAAAATTATCTTTGGGACATCCAGCTTCTATGCATAGTTTTAAGTGTAAGAGGGCAGTTGTGCCGTGAAAACTTGTGAATTTGTAAAACTTGATGCCTGCTGTTCTCAAACTAAGAGCACAGCTCTTCCATCTCTGTATGGTATTTTAGGTCTTCTTTCCCCTGTGATTCTGATAATGAAACACTAAATCTCTGATACTGGCAGGGGAGATCTAACAGGCCAACTTGTATTGTTGTGTTGTTTTAATCCAAAATAGTGTTTGCTTGATGATCCAAGTGACTGACATGAGGATGAAACAAATGGCAGTCTGTTTTCGCCTCAAATTTAATTTCAGTTGTCCTTGATGGCTGAGAGTTGGTTTGTCAGAGTATTGTGCTAGTGTCAGTTACTGGTTTTGATGAGCAAAGAATGATATAACATATTTCTTAGGGAGAATCTGTAATGACTTTTAGGCTTCATCTGAACTGCATCAAATGAAGTGGACTTTGTCCATGCTGAGTAGGTTCAGCATTATGAAACAAGTTATTCTACCATCCTCTTATCTAGTGCTTCATTTCCAATGCTTCTGGGCTATTCTGTGTCAAATATTTCTGGATCCTCTAAGGTTTTATCTAAGTTTGTTAAAACTGATTTTCTGTAGTATCTGTTGCAGCACAATTCTTATGCAAGCTTAGAAAACTTTGTGAAAACTCCTTAGATGAGATCCTTTTTCTTTTAAAGGGTTAGATCCATTACTGAATTTTGCCAGATACCATCTTGAAAAAGAAGCCTACTCACCCATGCCATGGACAAGCACAAATAAATGAGTTTATAGAATCACATGCATTAGATCAGCTAAAAAATAAAAAGGCTTTATGGATAGCTTGATGGAAGACCCTTACAACTGAAAAGCAATGCTTTTATTTTCAGAATTTTTTTCACTGACCAGAGAACATCTAGCACACTCACTAATATGGACAACAGATATTACAAGAGAACGGTTGCATTTTGAAATGAGGTCTTCATCTTTCATCTCAAAGGAGCAAAGAGCACATGTGTAGGTGAGGTAGGCAGCAGAGAGCCAGATCAGCAGGATCATTATTGGAGAACTTTGAGTTAGAGTTAGACTAACTATAGTTAAACTCAGCCGTAGTAGGCCAACTGGATGTGGACTTGTTGGCCTTGTGGCTCAGTTTGAATGAGCTGATCCATCTGAATGTGTAAATTCCAGTTCACTCACACATTTTGCTTTGGCCCCCAAAAAAGATGATTCTCATAGTCATTTTATTCCTCATGTTATACTATTTGTGGAGCAAGACACACCAAGTTCCCAGAGACCTAACTATGTCGAGGTAGCTGTGGTTTTCAGCTGCTTGCAAGAACTTGTGTTTTCTACTGAGCTCAGAGAGAAGGAAGAGCAAGTTTACCTGGATGTGAAACCTGTTTGTTAGTTCCTGGATGACTAATTGGGTAGAAACCCAACCAAACAAAACCCCTCTGATAACCAAGTTTTGCAGTAGTTTTCCATGTAGTGACCCTCTAACTATACTGCAGACATCTTTTATGCTTAGGAAGGAATTGAAGGTTGTTTTAACTTCTACTAGAATTTTATGCTTATTTTCATATACGCCTTTATAAATACAGAGCTGTACTTAACTGTTAGATAATATGTCCTACAAAGCTGTCACTGCTGTTATTACCATTGCAAAACAGAATTTAAAGACTGGAATTTTCAATTTGGCCTAAGAGTTCTAGATATCCACCTCCTCCTGAAAATTCAAGTGCCATATTCTGTTTTAAAAATCCTTGCCCTAAAGGAGTTTTCTAGATGATGATATGGAAGTGACACTTTTAGTTTCAGCTATCATACATAAATTTTTCTTCATCTATTATTTTCAGATAGTTGAAAATGTGTTCAACATAAGGGGTCTGAGGTAAACACTCAGTTTAAATGTAAGTAATGGTGAAAAATGACCAAAAACACGTGGTAGGTTTTTTTTGGTCTTGTGTTTTTTTTTTTTTTTTAAATTTCTATTTTGTGGTTGCCTCACTTTTCACTAAATTAATTTGCTTAACTAGGTCTTGAGAGCAGCTCTGTCAGTATACTTTTGACAATTCAAATAGAGTCTCGATGACACAGGCCTGGTTTTCTCCCACAGATGTCCCATTTTATTCCTTTAATAAAATAAATTTAATGCTTTTGTCAGTAGCAATTTTAAGTAGTTCAGCTGATGTGAAAGCTTACTGGTCTACAATTACCCACAGACACATTTTTTTAAGATGAGTTTAAAGTACTAATTGCAACGGCTGTGCTTTTTTTTTTTTTTTTTTTTTCTTGTCAGTCTCTATCCCTTCATTCAGTCCCCTCTATCACCAGTGGCTGAGTCTGTAACTGTGACCAGGGCTACTTGAAGAGACCAGACCTGGGTATGATGAAGATCAGTGAAAAGAAATCTTTCTATATTGTTTCATTACTCGTTCCTTCATTTACATAACAATGTACTAGCTCAAGCCAAAGATTCATGTGGCCTGGTATCCTGTCTCCTGTAGTATAGAGCTGGTGCCACGACAGACTTGTACTGAGATTCCCCTCACTAATAATGGGTACTAACAGCTACAGTAAAACCTTTTTGTTCCTAATTGGGCTGTGATTCAGAAAAATGAAAATGGCAAAGTAAAAGCTTTTTGTCTACCTTTCGAGAGAGCATACTCAGATACATCAGAAGTAAGAGACAGTCTGGCAATTTTAGAAAATTTTTTGACTCTGCTTTTCTCCTTTCTGTCTTTTCTCCCCCCACCAAAGATACAAGACATTTCAAGTTGCAAAACTTTAAATAATGTTTGAGATATGAGCAGTATTCTGCTCAAATTAGAATTCCTACTTGTTCAAACTCTGTGTAGCTTAAACAGGCACAAGTTATTTTTAAACGATCTGTTACTGCTATTTAAAACCTCCCCTTTGGTTTGCATTTTGTGTTGCTTTGTCATTTTAGATAATCTTTCTTCCTTCATGCCACATTTGCAAATGGGTATACAGAATGGAACTTTGTCACATAAAAGCACTTAAGAAAGGATTAAAACCCCAAGGTTTTCTTTGTATGGAATTAGTACAAAGAAGCTTCCTGGTAACATTGACAAACAGGGAAACTCAACAGATTTTTTAAAGCTCATGAAAATAGTCACAAACCTTGATTTTCTGGCTGATGCTGGAAATGAAGAATTTCAGAGACTAACTTGTCAGTCTTGGTTTTGTAAGCTCATCTGGTGACCTACAACAGTTAAAAAAAAAAAAAAATCAAAATACTGTATTAATTATTCCACTAAATCACAAAAAGCACTTGGATAGGATGGACCACCAAAGCCATGCAAGAGAGCTGTAAGGACAACAGTTCTATAGTCCTGTTATGAAAGCTACACAGCAGTAAATGTGAAAAGCAAATAAACGAATTAGTATTTTTAGTTCTGCAATTGCCAAGCAAGAGTTTAGAATCAAATTTGATTTAGTTGTAAATACATGAAGATGGATGTGTTACTTGAGGTGGGGCTGTTTGTTGAGGGGTAAGAAAAGGATTTCCATGCATTTTACCTCCATGCTGAATTGTGTTTTCAAGTTCGTGTAATGTTTCGTGATCAGCGATCTCTGAGGAACTGACACAAGCACTTACACTACAAGCCGTATAACAAAAGCCAGTTATGGGTTCGTCATGTTCAAAAGCAGGATTAATCCTTACAGCATTTTCTGAATTGCAGCTGTTGAGAGTAGGACTTCTACAATGTAGAACATTTTTGTTTTGGTAAGATTTTAAATTGAAAAAAAAAAAAAGGAATATTTTGTAATGTGAAGAAAAAGATCATGAACAGCTTACTGCAAAATAGAGTTTCTTTTGCTTTTTCTTCTTAACTTAATAATTAAAATGATGAAAAGAAAAACGAGGCTTAGTAAGCCAAGAATGAGAGGTTTAAAAATGAAGGGTTGTATGGGTTCTGGAGAAAATTTTGCACAGCGCTGTCCTTGGTAAAGCTCGTGTCTACGTACAGGGCATCTAAAACAGGGAGAGGAAGAAAAAAATGTACAGAACTCGAAGGCAGAAAATATGGAGTACCTCAAATGAAAACAAAGGAATATCTGTAATTAAATATAAGCCCAGTATTCCCAAAGCAATTAATTGTTATGTGTCTGTATGAAATAATGTGCTTGATAATAGATCATGAGAGTGTTAAAAAACACTGATACATTCTTTGCCAACCTACAAATTATAAGGAAATTAGGCATTTGGAGCATCTCTCATAAATTTCTAGCCCCACAGGTGAAGTTGAAGTAACATTTGTGGTTTAGAACCTTAGAAGTTGAGGTGTGTTTTGGAGTAATGTCTAAACACGTCTTTGAAGCCTACATCCTGTTTATCAGTGATTTTAATCGAAGTAGAAAGTCTGATGTAAAAGTTCTACTACAAATAGCTCCCTTTAAAGCAAGGGAGAAGATTGCCATATTTTATATGAGAACACAGGCGTTCCAGTTAGTGGAAAAATTAACGTGGTCAATTCTGAGTAAATTCACAAGCAAAACAAGTGCTTGACTAAAGGAAGTAATAGGCCATAATTTTCTCTCTGCAGACTGTTCAAGTTTCCACAAGCTGTCAGTCTGAGACTGGCAGTAAACTTGTGTGTTTGTAACTTGCTGTAATTCACAAGATGTTTGATTTATTATTTTTAATATTTTATCATTTTAAGTGATGGTTTAGTTACTATTGTACATCAAGTCAGGGCTTTTCTGGAGTGGAAATGTGTTTTTTTCCTTAGTGCATTGGTCATGGAGGAGTAGGCTATGCCCGTTGCTCCTTCACTACAGTTTTGAAAAGGACCTCTTTAGCTCACAGGCTGATTTCTAGTACAAAATACTGTGACTGAAAGTCAGGAATTTAGCAGAAACTGGGGTGAAATCAATATAATAATTATTATTTCTGTGACACTCACAGCAGAAAATGAGTGACAGTTACGTTGTTAGTGACATTATCATATGAATGATTTGCTCAGTAGTCTTATTTTTTTGACATTAATCCTAAATACACTAAAAGACATATCTTTAACCTTTTAAAGTCAATATTAAGAGAGAACAGACAAGTACAAACATTGTAACTTGGTTTTTGCTCATACACGTGGCTGGTCAACTACTGTATGCCAGTCTAATATACAATTTCACATAATGCTCTGGATCGTCTAGTCTATGAGATGAAACTTGATACTTTAAAAAGACTTAAAGCGTTCAAGTACTGTGGTAGTTCTCAATATTGGCTTAACATCATTTCATGTAAAAATCCTTATGGAATGTGTTTGCAGTTAGGAGGAGCTGCTGATCTTCAAGTCTCTCCCATAAAGACCCGAAAGCAGCCTCAACCTTCATGTGCTTTCTTGGGTGGTCTGGAATCAGAGTAGTTTATAAGAATATAGATTTCCTTTTTAATGCATCTTAGAAAGCAGTATTTTAAGAAATTATGTTTATGTAATCCATAGCAAAACCAGGAATGTGTTATTTCATTTTTCCAAGATGTACTTGGAAATCTGAAAAGAATGCAGCTTTGTCATCCCTGCTAATGATGCTGAATTTCTAATACGTTTCTAAAGGATCTCTAAAAAATAACTAGATTGTGTGTCCTAACAGGCAGAAATAGATTTATCCATAGTGTGACTTTTTATACTGAAGCAGGATTTTGTACCTTAAAGTGTCTGAATGTTGAGGTCTTGGCTTATTAGCATAGTTTATGCTGTTGAAAAGTAGATACTCAGCCCTGCTTGTTCATGCAATAGACATATCAGGGATCCGTCACAGAATTCATGTTAAGCACCATTTATTTACCTGCAGACAGCTCCTCTTCCTGGAACTAACTCACATTTCCCACCATTGATGCAGAGATGTGGTTCCAACTCACACAGGCTCTGACAGGGTAATCCATCTTGGCTTGCGTAACCAGCTTTACAAAGGCAGTCAGCCTCTTTTGTCCACTTGTTCATTACACATTCGGAAAACTCGTCACATGCCATGAATTTGCATGGGTCTGCCTGATCAGCTGTAAGGGATGGGTAAATCATTAATTGATGCATTACCCGAAAGTAACTTGGCAGGCTTTGTGGCAGCTAGAGAAAACAATTCACATTCACTGGCCTGCTACTTGGGCATGTTAATAGGAGGATGTAGTCTGGCATAAAATGACACACATCCTTCCTTCTGTAGATGACACAGCGAGCATGCAAGCTTCCATTTACTTCTACATTTGTTTACCCCATCACTATTAAGCTGTGATTTTATTTTCATCTCACTGACAAGGATTTTCACATTTGGATATTTTTATCCCTTTTTTACTGTAATAAACTGCTAGTTTTATACTCATGGATACTATGCTACAGCCTTGCATATGTGTAAGAAGTAGTTTTGGCTGTAATGACCTTAAACACATAATTTAGAAGATGACGAGGTGAGGGTATTATATTATTGAATATTGCACAATACTCTGAGGAATGCAACCTAGAAATACTGGCACCATCTAGAGAAAACATGTGCTTGCAGGTCTTTTTTCTTAAAATTATGTGTTAGCATTGGGAAAACTTGCTGGATTTTTTGTTTTGTTTTTTAAATATTAGTAAGGGATGCCTCTGTGAGATAAAGGGGGTAAGAGAGCCTGGTGGTGTTCATAGGAAGTCTCAAATCAGAGACAGCTTGAAGTCCTAACTTCAGCTGTCACACAAGTTTAAATCTCCTTGCCCATTCTCTACTTCTTACTAGAAACAAAAAAATGTCCCAGAAGGAATAATTTTAACCCAGTGCTCAGCCCAGATGAGGAGGGGGGTGTGCATCCACCAATTTTGTCTTATTGGAGGCAGTTTCCTGCGTACTGTGGGGTAAAGCCCTTAGAAAGGCAAAAGATGAAAAGCAGACCAGGGAATACAAATTCTGTTCTTGCCAGCAAACGGTTTCAATAAGATGTGTGAATCCAGGGGAAAAAAAAAAAAAAAAGTACAAAACCGAAAAAAAGAGAGCGTGGAGAAGGAAATGAGAGCAGATACACAGATATGAACTGGGCTATGTGACCCTTTGAAGTTATGTGGGTTTAAAATTTATTAAGAAGAAAAATCTGTAGTTTAGAAAGGGGATTCATTCTGGATATTGCAGCTAGTACCTGTAGGTACTAAATGGTCTTGAGAATATTTTTCAGGAGCCACTTTGTGCTCCATACTAGATGCTCAGTAATACTAATTCCAATGAAAAAATGAGCATTGCATTCTTTATAGTGGTACTGGAAATCTCAGACGCACACTAGGATAAGCTTAACTGGTACAAATTAATCCAGCAGAGCTCTTCACTTTTAACTCCTCTATAATTCTATGGCTAGTTGCTTGCTTTTTTTTTTTTTTTTTAAATAATTTTAGACTAGTAAATTTTAGCATGCACAATTTCCCTTTGCTATATACAATGTACATGTTGATTTGGGATCTACTTTGTTCCTGAACTGTAAATGTATTCACATGTAAACTCTAACAACTGGGCATCAAAGTAATACAATAAATTACAAAGTAACTTTATTGTTAGGCAAACCCTTGATTATATGTATATAAAAAAAAATCAAAACAAACAAACCCCAACACAACAAAAAACCCAAGCAAAAAATATTCCAAGTACTTTGCTCTGGTCATTGAGACTACTGATTGTGAATTGCAGAGTTTACTCTCTAATGAAACAAGAGCAGCTGGCAAATCAAAAGGGGATATTAATTCTTACAGACTATACTCTTACCCCACACAGAATTGCACGCTGAGCAAATATAGACCACTTCCAAAGGAAGCATCGTTAATAAAAGAGCTTGTATATTTGAGAACTTGATTAGAACAGTAACAGCTGCATTAACTGCATGTCTCCTGTAAGTCCCTCTCCAGTTTTGATGGTCACAGTTTACCTTTGTAGTTGTGGAAATAAAGGTTGATACTGCCAGTAAGGAGACTCTGTCTAAGCATTACCCAGGGTTGTGTGCTACAGCCCTGTATTTTTGTCAGCTGAAAGGTTTCAGAGTCTTTCTATTTGACAAGTAGAGCTTGGCATGAGCATTTCTCTGGGTTAGAGGGTCATTTTTTGTGATAATGTTTCATTTTCCTTAAAGTGTTGGGCAATGTACCTGCCATACTTTGTCATCTTTTCTGTGTTTTCACTTTATTTAGGTTACAAAAGTAATGCATACATGGATTTTTAAAAGCCCACTATGTTATTGTTTATGGTATTATTTGTGACCAATGCAGTCAGCCCTTTGCAGCTGCTGAGTCTTGATAGGTATTTTGGACTGTCAGTTCCATCAGTTTCAATTTGATATGACATTATCACCACTAGATGGCTCTTACTTTCACAATAAATAGGACTTTGCTTAAATTACGTTAATTTACTTAACAGGTTGGGGTGGGTTGGTTTGTTTGTTTGTTTTTGCTGAAAAGACAGTAGGGCTTTGAAGCACCTGTATGGTGTTTATATACTGGCTTTTAAAACATAATTTCTTCTATTTTGACATTGTACTACTGTTCATAAGCCTTGAAACAACAGCTCCCAGCAAACTCATTGTGATATTGTTTTCCTGAATTAATGGTAAAACATCAGAAAAGCAGCTGATAGGGATGGAGATGAAAGATTTTTAAATTTCTCTGTGTTTGTATTTTAATTTTTATTTAAAGAAAATTTGCTACCAAAGCAGAGAACATGGGATAGCCCAAAGTTTTCTCTTTCTAGTGAACTTATTTAGTACTTTATTGAACAAAATATCAGTTTATCATGGCAGCATTTGTAAGTTTGAATACTGTGATTTTGTTAACTTTCTTTACCACACACTCTACCTACGCTCTTAGTGGCCACAAGGAGATACGTAAAATGAAAACAGATTAGAAACTATCTGCATGAATTGTAAATGGATTTTTTGTTCTGGAATTGTCAGAGTTCTATACATAAAAAGGCAGCTTAACCAAAACTGCTGAAGGCATCTGCATGCTGAGATATTGATATTATTCTTTTTCATGCCAGATGAAATTATTTCAGCCATGAAATAATTACCAGAACCTGAAAATAGGTCCAGACCGCAATTTTATAAAACAATATAGTTTTTGAAAACTTTAAGCTTTTGACATTACTATAGTGTCCAGATATGTTGTTATCTGACTTTCTACTGTTTAACAAAGATTACAGACTTATTTGAAAGATATTAAATTAGGAGAGATTCTGGAATTAGAAATCTATAAAGTGCTACATATAGTCATGCTCTGGTCAGTGAGTATCTGTAGAATCCAATTATTCCTAGAAATTGTCTCCTGTCTTAAACTGTAGCCCCTTAAAAATAGATTTAATGATGTCTAAACTATGGTTTGCTTACAACATTGCAAAAATAATCAGAAATTATTTTTACATACTCGGGTGCAAGATTTGCATAAGTCACTTCTGTATGGTGCATATGGGCATTCTTTATGACCATCTTTGCCCAGCCCTTATTCTAGAGTTTTTAGTTCATTGTCTTTGGCTCTTAAAAGCAGTTGCCGTACATGCAGAGACCAACACCATCACCCATCATTTCATTACAGTATGAAAATATGCCTGCAGATGCTTTGCAACATCTTGCATTTTTTTATTACTCCTGGTCATGGGGAGGTTATTGCTAATATTGTTATTTCCAAAGCAGTAATACTTCTGAAGTTGTAACAATCCAGAAAAGATTATCTGCTTAGTGTTGTTTTTTTCACATAGATTAGTAACACCGTCTTACCTGGCTCAATATCCAGGGAATAACTGTCAATCTCCAAATTGAGGTGTTGGGCTGCAGCATCACAGAAATCTTCCAAAACACAGTGTACTGCTTCTGTGATATTGTATGGCACTGTCTTGGCAAATTTCATTTTACTATTCACAATCACGCTTCCGTTCCTGAAGTTAAGTATTTCCAGGTGCTTAAAACCTGTAAGGTTGGACTGAAGGTACGGAAGTAGCTGCAAAACAGAAATTTGCCTTTATTTTAACTTACTGTCAATGTCTACCTGCTATTAATTTCTCGTATAGTCACTTTTCATTATCAAGTACACGCATCACACGCTTATTTCTCTGAATTTAACACAACTGTTAAACTCCACCCCCAAATTCACTTTTCTGTTTGCGCTATCTTCTTCTGGACTTTTGCATCATTCTCAATCATATATTGAGATGGATGGGCAGCAGTTTCCCCTGTAATGAAATGCACAGCAGCTGGGGAGTTTATTCATCTGGAAGAGAAAAAATCACCTCACTCAAAAGCCAACTTCAATTATTTTCAAACGTTCAATCCAGGCAGGTTAGGGCATAGCATAATAGACATGTTACTGAGCTGACCTGCTGCCCTATTGTACCCATAGAGAAAATCCATATCTAATCACATTCCCCCTACTAAGCTATGATATATTTTAAAAGGCCTATTTTTAAATCCAGCGTGTAGACACAAGCCTTAGATGCAATCAGTAGTGTTATGCTGTTGACGTGACTCTCAGAAAAAGTCAAATAAATTACATGCCAGGCATATATCTGGAGTCTCTTGAAGAAGTAAAACCTTCTATCACTGACTTCCTAAACTGTTTCTTCATACCCTGAGAGCATCCCAGGTTTATGGCTCCTTTAAAAATACAGCTTATCAGACTGAATTATACTAGGGTCTGATACTGTTAAAATACCGTGCTCTTTAGTATATTGCTTTAAACAATGCCCGACTATTGCATGTGGTGTTGAAGTTGATTTGCACCCACCAGTTGCACGAACTGTTGTTCTAGTGCTTTGTATTCTGGCGAACTCCTATTGAAGAGGTCATCAGAAAAGTGCATGTTGGTTACCCTCAGGCTGAAGAAAACCACTAGCTCTTTGCCTTTGGCTGCGGTTGTCATGGAGCTGGTAGTTACATACTTCAGCGTAGGAGCGGGGGTGGCTTCTGCAGGCTCAGCTGTCAGCAGTGAGATAAAACTGCTGCTGTGCTCCACTTCATCCAGTGCTGCTGTGCTCATCACACCAACATGACCTAACTCGCCAGAAGCATCCTGCGCTCCTGTCCGGGTGCCATCAGGAGGAATGCTCTCAGATGTGGGCACTGAGGAATCTGGTACTTCAAGGGACTGTTTGATGATCTCAGAGTGGCTGGAGGATGGAGTGGTCGCTGCAGGTAGAGGTGCTGTTGGGTCTGATGGTAGCACATCTGTAATAACAGCTTCAGGCTGTGTGGTAGAGAGATCACTTGAACCAATAAAGAAAGGCAATGTTTTGTAAGTGCTGCTTGTAACTAAAATGTTATCGCCTGAAGATTCTGGTTCATCCGTGATCTTAACTGCTGCAGAAAAACAGGGGAAAAACAAATAGTTATTTTGAAAAGCAAGCATAACAAACACCAAACATGGGGAACAACATGTATATTCTATTTCCACTGAAGCATTTTTAAAAACAAGATTTAACACTAAACATGAAAATGTTTCTATCATCAAGGTAGGACTACTGGAATAAAACACCTCACCCACACGTTTGAGTGATGAGTTTTCGGTGGGTGCTCTTTTTAAATAATAATTACACTTGGTAACTGTAATTATTATTTAAATGTAATATTTCCTGAGCCATTTCAAAGTACAATCCAGTTTTGAAGGTACATAATCACACTGTCAGGTTATATTGACTGAAAGACTAGATCACAGCTTTGAGCTGTCTGCTTGGATCAGTTGTATGCCAGAGTCATTCTGTTCCCCTCTGCAAGAGGTTAGAGCTATTATTTGCTAGTAATCATAAAATGTGGTAATGAAAAACTATACAGCCTCTTCAGATGCAAACTCTGTCAGTTTACTTAAAAGACAACAGCTCCAGTGAAAATAGCTTCAAACCTTAAGAAATCATCTGCTGCACCTGAAGCATCCATTTGATCCAGATGCTGAAGGTCCCTGTTTGAGACTTGGCATGGATCTAGGATGTGTGATAGCTGTAGCTGAAATCCAAATCTAAAGTGTGATGAATGAGACCCTTCGAATGACTTCACAGAAAATGCTGGCGTCTGTGCAACAACCATCTAAGCAAGCTGACAACTTTGTCCTTTTCCAGTGATATGTGGACTCTTTGCATAGGACTTATAGCAGTCCCCCGCAGGCAAAAATCACTTACCAGCTGGTAGGAAAGAAGTTTCTTTCCAATTGATGGACTCTTCCATTCCCTACACACTGGTCTCCTCCCAGTGGCCAACGAAAGTACTAAAGGAGAGCAAATTTTTGCATTGGGAATAACTTCAACTGAAGGAGGTGGCAACTATCTTGTCTATGGCAGAGGAGTTGCCCATAGAGCATGCCCATGCTTTTAAATGAATAAGACCCAATCTTCTGCTTATTGTATTGCTGGTTTTGTGAAAAGCTTAGGATGAGATAGCCGTCTGTTTTCTTGACACTGCTAATTTAATAGCATGTACTAGCTCTTTGGTTCCTCCCTGCAGATACAATGCCTTGGTCTAATGTGGATTATTTTCTATATAGCCATATATAGCCCCATTCTGCTAAGCCAACCCCACTTCTCAAAACAGCGAAGAATTGTTCTAAGACACCATATGTGGTTTTACTAGAATTAGATGTTTAAAAAGAATTTTCTCCCATCCAGTTACCACTTTGCATAAACTTATATTAAGAGCTGCTACATTTTTTTTTCTCCTTTGTTTTAATATGTATTTATATATGGTGATTCAGTGATAGTCATGTAAAGAGATAAATAAAACATATGCTAATAAAATAAGTTAATAATATAAAAACATAGTGTAATATAAAAAAGATTAATATATAAAATAAGAAATATTATCAATAGTAATAAAATAAGTAAACCAGATAATAGACTGACCAGTGGTTAAACTTTTGGGGTAGGCTGTGAGAGAACTAGATTTACTTTTTGGTTCTGCTTCAAACTCCTCAGGAGTCTTAAGAATATGCCTTTGTGTGGTATTGATCTCACTTCTAGGAGGCATTTAATAGTGAGATGTATCCTTTAAGCCAGTCAGCTTTGCTCCCTTTTTAGTCAATACAGAGAAATTTATCTCACTTGAACAAAACCATCTAAACATATGCTGGATCTTTTGAAGTGCCTATATCTTTCCGCTGACATACAGAACAAATATAAAACAAATTTATGTGAGATGTCTGGTTTTCCCCTTACACAGTTTTTGTTATCTAAATCAATCCTTTCAGCTCCTTGTAGCGTGACTGAGGTTCATGGCTTTCCCTGAGATTCTCAAGTATTGGACTGATAAGGACTATTAAAGTTTTTTGAAAAAGGGAAACACTTTCTGTTGTGACATAGTTTGATGCTACCAGCAGGGCAGAGTGGGTCTGGCTCTGGTGAAGGGTCAGTGAATTTTACTCTGGAATACCAGTAACATGGTGTTACTGGAGTGTTCTTCCCACTCTCAGTTCTAAAGTTTTCCATTTGTTTCAAGTGTTTCATGTGCCTTGGCTAATGGAAGAACTAGATTTTTTTTTTTTTTTTTTTTTTTTTGTCTGTGCTGTGGGGAAGTGAACTTCTAGAAGCAGTTTCCAAAAATAACCTGGATACTCTTAAGCACAACTCTTCAGATAAAGCAGCCTAGAGGGATCATTACTGCATCCGCTTCTATTTATGCAGTCACTACATCAGTAACTAGTTCAAATGTTATTCTGGTACAAAGAAACCCATCTGAAAGCACAATGTGAAAGCACAAATTAATGACTGTTTTTAAAAGGTAAGATCACTCATCTCTGTCAATATTTAGTATCCCTTTCCCATATTGGACATGGCAGAATTTTATAGTCAGTTTTGTTGCTTTCATCTGCATGCATGAAAATGTCTTCCACCAGTGTGCATCATCTTAACTGGTAAAATATTTGGAAACCAGAATGATTTAGATGTCAAAAATTCCCACTTGATAAGAGACTATATTTCACCTATTTTGGGTTTGATATTTAGGACTGAATTCTAATCCCATATTTATCAGCAGTGAACTCACTGAAGTCAATAGAACTGTGGTAGTATAAAACCTGAGCAAGTGAGATCAGGGTACTTGAGGATCAGGAGTGCCCAGTCCTAGGGCCCTTAGGGGAAAAGTTTTCTGCCAGATTATAAAATATTTCCTTAACTTTCACATGATGAGCTCCTCCCACCTCCTTCCCACATCCCCAGTGGCTGTTCATGACTGAAGTGTACAAAATAACAAGCGAGCTTAGAGTACTGCTGATGCTGGAAAAGACTGAAGTACACTACTAATACAAAGCATCTGGGTTGGACGGGTTGCAGGAAAAAACCCAAGACCTACATTCTCCTTTACCTCAAGGCCAGACTCTGGTGATCTGGAAGCACAACAGGACCATGAAATGGGTGCAGCAAATTCCCATTTAAACTAGCACATTTGTACAGTCTCCTTTTCTTTGTTGTGGTATGTAATTGACACTGCTGACAGTGTAAGACACAGACTACAGTCCTAGAGAGCAGGCAAAGAGAATACCAAAGTGCTGCATGGAACGGGGGCTGTGCATGCAGGATGTAACACCATGTGCTGCAGCACAGCTTTGTGCCCTAATACTTCACTGAGAATTTGAGATACTTTTCTCTTATCGTGTGTCCTCATGTTTCTTGTCTAATCAAGAATGGACAGATTAGAAAAACAAAGCCTGGTGATGTTCTCTGTTTACAGAGCTCTCGCTGTTACTTGTTACACTGATAAGGAGTGAGAGTCACTTATTAGTTAAGGGAACTCAAAACAGATTTCTTAGCATTAGTGCCTGAAGGCATTAATGCAGGATAATCTACTGATGGGATGAACCTGCAACTCCACAGAGCAACATTCTCTCAGCGTGACAACATACACTCGAGCATAGGATCGTGATGGTATCTGTTTGGCATGTTATATTTTGAAAAGAGGTAATTACAGGAGAAAGAAGTACTGAAATGGCTTTGAAATTGCAGCAAGTGTGAAGCAGAATAACCATACAAATATTAAAGGTTTGGCATATAGCTGTGTATGTGTGCATATATATACACTATATATAGATGATAAAGGTCTTCTAGTATCCTCTTATTACAAGCAAAGTAACTTAAAAGGCCTTGAGGGCATACCAAGATGATCTCTGTGCACGTATCACCTGTTTTCATAAACTGCCAATTCTTATCAGTTGCTGTCTCCCCTGCTGAGATGGACAGTGACTGACCACAGATGTGGTGTTAGTCCCCTGCAATGTGTAAGGAAATGGGCTCGCCTGAGCACTTGCAGGAGCACAGCACCAGTCCCAAACCCAGGGGTTACTGACCCTGTCTGTTGGTTGCACTTTGTCTAATGTGTCAGGTTACTGCTGCAAGACACGCCTAAACAAGTGACTCGTTGAAAGTGGCAGTAAAATGACTTGCACTTGGTTTTGACAAGCTTTTCCCCTGTCCATGTGAGATTTTGATAAAAATCAACCTGATGGGGTTAAAAACTATGGATGAAACAAAGAATGCCTAGACATTTGGAATGAATTTCCATTTAAAATGTTGGATTTATATATAAACACAATACATATTGGTTTTCGGACTAGATGTAAGGAAGAAATTCTTTACTGTGGAGGTGGTGAAACACTGGAACGTGTTGCCCAGAGAAGCTGTAGAAGCCCCATCCCTGGAAACACTCAAGGCCATGGTGGACGAGGCTCTGAGCAACCTGATCTAGTGGAAGGTGTCCCTGCTTGTTGCGGGGGGGTGGGGGTTGGACTAGATGACCTTTAAAGGTGCCTTCCAACCCAAACTATTCTATGATTCTATATGCATATATATATATAATTTTGAAATGGAACACAAAATAGACTTAAACTGGTTCATTATAAAGTAATTATTTTGATACTTCACCCATTTTGCCTTGTAGATGAGATTTTTACAGCAGAAGGCTAGAAAAAGACAATTATTTTATGAAATCTCTAAAAACACAAACACTGAAGATTCAGACATTCTTAGTTCAGCATATTTCATTTCAGCATAAAGTATGGTCTACAATGCTATCATTCAGGTGTAGGGAGCACACAGAGAGCACAAAACAAGATGTAGAACTGAAATATAACTCCAGAGTAACCATACTGAAGATTAAACAATGGCATGGAATTAAAAATGCTGTCAGCAATAAATTACTCTCAGCCACCACTTACCCTCCCACAAAGATGTTCACTGAACTCTCCAGATGTTTTTTTGTATTACATGGACAAGGCAGGACAATCTTACACTGAGGAGAGTTTTATACCTAAAATTAAATTGCTGTTGGCAAAGATTTGTAAACACTAAATTAAGAGGCAATTTCCTAGGCACATTTCTATATTA